TGATGAATTCCTCCAAGAGAGTAATGATTCATCCACCGATTTGGTTACACCACTGTTCTGTATATGGATTGGCCATATGCTGTACTCACAAGTCCCCTGTACATTGTGTTCTCTTATGTGGTTGGCTTGTAGCCCATTGGTGAAGATCCCCCCATTGTTTTCTCCCTTCGAATTTCCCAATAAATGTTATCACAGCCTATCTTATTGCAAGAGATGTTGAGTCTATCATATCACCTTTATTAGACCACTATCAAACTACCTAAAAATATTATCTAATCTTCAGCAGAAGGGTGTGTTACAGATCATATATTGATTAAAAATATAGCCAAGTTATAGTATATAAACAGGATGTAAGATTGAGTTAGTCATAAAATCTGCTTTCTAAGATGGTATCAAAGTCTATCATAGTAAGATGTATTAGACCTATCATGTCATACACTATTAAATCACTCACAAATTTCTAATCTCATACTTGAAATGTCTAATCCTCGGCAATGAGAGTGTTAGAGAACATTGACTAGAAATATAACCAAATTACAATATATAAATGGATGAAATTCCAAACCATTTTTATATGATTAAGACTTAAAATCCACTTTCTAAAATGGTATTAAAGTCAATCCTAAAATGTGCTCCTATTTTTTAGTCAATAAGGAATCTCTAACACACCACCTTGTGTCGAATAAAGGATATATTGAGTATGGAAATAAATATTTATGGGTGGTTGCTCAACAAAACTCGTGAGAATAGACTTTGGAACCTTCTTAAACTACATAAGGAAATAGAGAATTTTATACCTAGTCCCACAAATATATAGTTTCACAATCGAGATGTTCAATCCTTGGCATGAGAAGGTGATAGAGATTCCATATTGACTAAAAGTATGATCAAATTATAGTATATAAGTGTGGTGCAAACCCTATTTTACAAATTGGTGTTGAGGTCAAGTTAGGCTCAATGTCCAATTTCAAATACATTACAGTTAATAGTAATACGGAAAAAGATTTGGAGCATTTTTATGCATATTTATGATTACTTACTCAATTTTGGCCATTACCAGTCGTTTTACAATGGATGTGTAAATGTAGTTTTCCTTGCTTAATGATTGTTATCAATGATGCACATAAAGCCCTAGGCATAGACACTACTTGTGTACATTCCCATCAAGTGGACATGTAGATATCCTCTACCGTTCCAGACATCTATGTTTGTAATGCTTCCAGAGAGCATTTAATTCAGAGCTCACAAGGTGTAGGACAGGCGTATCTATGGAGAAGTATTATTATTGAATATTTCAATCATGATTAAGGAACAGCATTTGCAGCAAACTAACTAAAATATTAGTAGAGCTATCAAACCTTGAACTCATCAATTGTCATCTCATAAATCTTGGTCTCAAACATTTTGAGAAATGCCTCGACCCTTTGCTCAATGTTCCCGGGAGACTGAGAAGAAAGTATAATGATGGGCTTAAGAATATGTCATAATTTAAATATTAATTTAGATGTTTTCCAAGCTCCGAGTAGGAAAATACCTTTTCTGTGGATTGGATAATAAACTGTAGTCCACGTATACCACAATCATTCCTAGACATGTTTAAAATTGAAGTCAAAAACAAGTAAGTTTTTCAAGCTGAATACAT